TGTGTGGCTCATGAATGGAAATGAAAGGCAGGGGAAAAAGCAGAGGCAGGAAGGGGGAATGTGGATTCTCAATAGCCTGGGTTAGTCTGGGGCAGGCTGAACTCAGTGCAAAATGAGTTTGGAAACAGGAGAAAGAGGGAACTGCGGTTTTCAAACTCAGCTTACAAAGACTATAACATTACAGCTCCTGGGATCACAAGTGTCTGGATTCCCTTGGGCAGAAGTCACAACTATGGGCATGGAGGGGACTCATACAGATAGCGCCAGCTCTGGGAATGTCCTTTATTTTCATCGGACACTGGTACAAAGGGACGGGGATTAGTATGCACAAACCACAAGAAAGTGAAACAGCAACTGGCTAGCTTTATCCTTACACACTATTTCAGATTTGGGGACTCTCTCTAGTTACATGCAAGTGGCACTGCCATGGTCACATATGGCTTCCAATATATTTAACAGTCCTCAAAGTCTTTCAGCTTCCCCACTTCTCTCCCCAGTTCTCCTGCCTCCTCATGGGCTCTGCCCGTTGCACTCCCACACCCAACGTGGAGATGGTGCCTTGCTCACCTGTATACTCTCTCTCTTCTTTGGAGGTCTGTCCTGTCCCTTCTGCACTTGTTCTGGCTCACCTATTAGGGAGCCCCTCTCCCCTAGTCTCCTTGGGGAAGTCCTCTGAAGCTCTGGGTTTGCAGGTCCCCTCTCAGGAGGCTGCTCTTCAGTGTTGCTGAAGGTCCCTGCACCTGCTGGATGGGGAAAAGGATCCACAGGTTAGATTCACTGCTGCTGGCACAGGGAAATCCCTGCTCTTCCCCTGCACTGGCCTGTCCCTAAGGCAGCTGCAAGTCTCAGTATGTGGGAGCAGAGGGAGAACGAAGAGGCAAAGATCCACAGCTCTTACTAACAGACCTCCACAGCCAGGAGGGTGCAGACGAGTCCCAGTGACTCTGTCCATGCTCCAAGTGGTCGATCACACCATGGCAGAGCCTGCAAGGACATTGCTTCCTGAGCCAGGACACGCTGGGGACAAAACTGCTCCCAGGTTCCAAAATTTAAGGGAAACCCTGAGTCAGTTTGCACCAGGGTGTGCACCAGGGCTTTTAGGGGGACACCGGTGAAACAGGAAAAGCTGATCTCCTGGAGCACTGATTCCATCAAAACGTTCAGGCAAAAGAGAGTTTTCTGTTGCTGGAAATGACACAGCCACTTGCTCCTTACCTGCTCCCGGGGAAGACTTTTGTCTGGGGCACACACCCAAGCAACTTTCATCTGCCGATGAGACAGGTTTCCTCTGTGTTGGGCAATGTGCCGCACAAGTAACTTATACATTAAGCAGTCAAATATCACTGGGGGAAACCCATTTCCTGGGCACCTATAGCAGCCCCTTAGTGGGCACAGAGCTCACAGCAGGCATGAGAGAGGGGCAAGTGGAACGCAATCATTGATTTTTGCATTGGGGAAACTACGAGGCCCAAGCAACATAAAGGATCTTTCTGCTGGGTGCTGCACACATGCAGTGAAAAAGTTCAAGCCCCTCAAACTATAGGCTGCCCACTAGGAGAGATCAGAGCCTCATCTCACCTCAGCCACTCAGTTATAACTTCTAATTTAATAAAAGGCTTTGTCTGTCTGTCTGTCTGCAATGCTTTTTCCCAACTGCACATGCAGTTTCCTCAGCTGGCCAGGCAGCTGGGGGCTGGGGCAGATGGGTTAAAATGGGAGCCCCTCCACCAGTGCCACCATCTCCTGCAGCCTCTGGTGTGGCGGCTCCTTCCACCCACCTCCACAGAAGCAAAAAAAAAAAATTAAAAATAAATAATTGGGTAGAGCATTTTAAAAGTGGGCGGCCAGCTGAGGAAACCCTCTGCTGTAGCAGGTTTGGACTGGAAGGGTGTGGGGGGAGAGAGGAAGCGGGGTTGGACCCAAAAGGGTCCATTACCTGATTCCCGGTAGACAGGGGCCTTCACTTTGGGGACGTGAGGTAGCTCGTCCTGAGGTCCTGGCGTTTCACCCCATCCTTCCTCCTCCTGGGGCACGTTTGCAGGATGGGGCCGCATCTCCTCCAGCCAGGAATCAAGAGGCTCCCATAATGCCTCTGTGGGTGCCTTCTTGTCCGAGGACACTTCTTGGACCTTCACACCCACTATTACCTGGGGACGAGACATATTACCGCGGTGCCAGGAGCATCCCCCAGACACACAGAGAGATGGGGAGGGAAGCATTGATGATCAGGGTGAAACGCTCTCACCTGGAGCTTCTCATCCTCCATCTGCCCCAGCTGAAACTGCTCAGCCAGGGCCACTGCTTTGGCGCACGTCTCCACACCATGTTCCCACACCCAGCTCTGCATCTCCCGGGGCAGGACGGCCAGGAACTGCTCCAGCACCACCAGCTCCAGCATCTGCTCCTTGCTGCGGCGCTGGGGCTCCAGCCAGCCCCGGCACAGCTCCCGCAGGCGGCTGCAAACTTCGCGTGGCCCTTTGGCATCCTGGTAGCAGAAGCCCCTGAAGTGCTGACGCCGCTTCTCTGGGATAGAGGGGTTGTTCCCTGGAGCCAGATGTAGGGTTACTGGGGCTGATGTGAGGGCTGGACAGGTGGGGTCTGGAACTGGTGCCATCCCACGCTTGGCAGCCATCGTCTCTGCCAGTGGAAACCCCACCCCGGCTCTGACACACGGAGGCTCTTAGCAGTCTCGTCTCCTGCGGCACCTATGGGAAAGGAGATAATGAAACTTAAACATATCACGTGATGGAAGAGCCAGGACCACAACCTATTGCCCCAGTTTCATGGTGTGCCCACTGCTGCCACAGTTTGTGGGGAGTGGAACGGCTCCCACAACACCCCTCCATGGAGCCATCCACACCTGCCAGCATCCTCTCCTGGGAGGTGTACCATGGGAGGCCAACTTGCTAAAAGGATATCTAGTTAAAGCTGAGCAGAAGCTGAAAGTTTTGTCGAAGCATAAATGTTGGCAAAGACAATAGGAAGATGTGCAGAAGGAGAGAAAGTGTGACACAGGTGTGCCAGGAGGCATGTACTTATGCAAGTAAGTTTTAGTAAAATACCCTAAAAAAAAATCAATTTATGTAAATAGCCAGTAGTAGAAAATAATAATAGTAGAAATAATGACAAGTACCAAAAAAGTATTTAAAAGTTTGGGAGCAAGAGGACTGCTGGGCTGCACCCCTGAGCTTCCCACAAGACCCTGAACTGTCTGATCACTGGGATATTAAGCAAGCTTTACTTGCAAGGCAACTAGCACGTTTCTTAATAGAAGGATGTGGGCTACCCGCTAAATAAACTTACATGAAAGGTGTGGAAACTCCTCTCTTAAGTAATCTTTTTCTCAGTGACCCACTGGTTCCTCACCCCACAGACACACAGCCCCTTCCTCAACCCCAGTCCATCCCTCCTCTTCAGGGTACCTGCTGCTCTGACTCTGCCTGGGACAGGACGCAGCCCAGAGCCCCCTAATTGCACCGGAGCCCGTAAGGTCTTAGCCTTGCACCGTCTACCCTTAAGCAAGAAAAAACTCCCACATTTTTTCCCCCATTAAAATAGTTGTTTCTCAATTTGTCACTGAAATATTGTGGGTTACAGTTTCTGGAAACAATTACGTTTTCATTGGAAAATCAAAAGCATTATTTTTTGTTGCCAAAACAGATTCCTCCCCCAACCCTTCAGTGGGTGTGTCTACACATTCATTAATGAGCAGTAGTTACTGCACATTTAGTTTCGTACTTGCTTAATGAAGTACTAACTAAACGCGCAGTAACTACAGTTCCTGCGTAGTAGCGCCGGTGCATGGTTTTAATGATGCTTACTGCGCCGTGGCCTACTACTACTGCACAGTAGTGTATCCGCACGGTTTTTGCCTAGCTTGCTACTGCACCGTGTTATTAGGCTACTTAGCCTTAGGCGTCTCTTGGGGCCGCTTGCGTCATGAACTCGTCAGAGGAGCCTCCAAAAACTAAAAAAGGCACGTTTCACAATTCTGCACAAGGCATACTCAACATGTTTTGATCACCTCCCACCTACTGTCTTAGGCCAAGTGGTTTCTGGACAACACTCTTTGTGTTGTTGGAGAGCTCTGGGACTGAATCCTGATGGGTATTTTCCCTTCCTGGAGACGTATTGTGACTGAGAGCGAGATGACTTGTTTGCAACAAGACACTCCTGATATTAGGAGTGGTGGTGGGGGAGAAAGGTCTATGATGGAGAGCCTAGACCACAAAAGCAGCAGAGAAAAACCCTAGAGGCAAATCCCATGCATGTGAAAGAGGGGAAGGCTTTCCCCTCTCCCTCCTGTCCTGCACAAGTACCCCTGACTTCTGCAGTCTCGGCAGCAATCTCCATTTATTTTCCAAAGAACAATTTCCATTAAGTTCCAATTTTCGAGTATCGTAAGATCTACGGTCTCTCCTTGATAATGCATTGCTGCCCTTGATGTGGAAAGATGGGTTTAAAAGGAGAGCCCCATCTGTATCTTCTATTTAGTGCTGTGAGGTTTGGTGAGTAACCCCTTTCTTTCCTGAATGCCTTTGTACTTGAAAAGTCCCGGAGTAGGATGAGAAGTCTCTCTAGCCAAATGCAGAATCCAGCATGCGTGCATGCAAACCGGGCTCCTTGCTATAACAAATTCAAGAGAGTCCAGTGGAGAGCAGTGAACACGGTTCAGGGACTGGGGCACATGTCTTACGAGGAGAGGTGGAGGCAACTGGGTTTATTTAGTCTGCAGAAGGGAAGACTGAGGTGGGATTGAATAGCAGCCTTCAGCTACCTAAAAAGGGGTTGCAAAGAGGATGGAGCTGGACTGATCTCAGTGGGGGCAGATGACAGGACAAGGAGCAATGGGCTCCAGTTGCAGCAAGGGAAGTTGAGGTTGGATATTAAGAAAAACTCTCACTAGGAGGGCAGTAAAGCATTGGAACAGGCGACCCAGAGAGGTGGTGGACTCTCCATCCTTGGAGGTGTTTAAAACCCAGCTTGACAAAGCCTTGGCCGGGATGATGGAGTTGGGGCTGGTCCTGCTTGGAGCAGGGGTTGGACTGGATGTGACCTCCTGAGCTCCCTTCCAGCCCTTGTTTTCTACACTTCCATGACTCTATGGATCATCCCGTCCTCTCGTCGGGCGTTGCACGCTGGGGGAAGCACAGAGAAGCCTGTGTGCTCCATGTGTGGATCCTTTGTTCCCAGCTGTCGCAGGGAGTGCAGCATCTGCTTTAAATCTTTTGCAAGGCCCTTTCTCTTCCCCACCTCCCTTCATCCGCACTTATTTTTGATTTCCTGCCCACCGCAGGTTTGCTTCCATCTTTATCTCCCGGTTTAAACCCCACCCCTGCTTCCTTCTCTCCTTTTAGAGCCTCCGAAAACCTTGCCACCGAGGAGGATTTCAGCGCTCAGCAAAAATCCTCCCAGGTCAAAGGGTTCTTTGTCTCGCCCTGCTCTGCTCCCCCCGCCTCCTGCACCAGCCATCTTTGCTTCTGCAGGTCCGGCCAGCTGCTCCAAGCAAGGATTTCCCTAGCCAGTCTCTTCTCATAAAAATCATAGAAAACGAGGGTTGGAAGGGACCTCAGGAGGTCACATCTAGTCCAACCCCTTGCTCAAAGCAGGACAATCCCCAACTAGATCAGCCCAGTTTTGCAAATTGCCCCTCTCTAAGGGCTCTACACCACACAAGGGTGGTGGTGGTGGGGGGGGTGTGCCTTTTAGAGGCAAAGAGGGTGTGGGATCAGGGATGTTTGCCAGGCTCACTTGGCCAGCTTGTGCCCTGGGTATTCTTCCATTATCCAGCTGGGGCTGGGAAAGGGCTGAATGCACTGTCCTCTGGGATGCCGTGCCCAAAGAGGGCTGTCTGTGCCCCAAAACTTGCAAAGAACAATTTTTCCAACTATGTAGTCGTTCTAATCAAAGATACCGCATTTACCCAAAGAGGCTTGAATGCCTACTGTTCCCACCTGGGCTTTTCCTCCTGCTTTTGGGCAACTGCAGTGACCTGCCTGCCCAGCCCGGCTCTGCCCTGGCACAGGCTGGGTTGGGTGGGCACCGGGGAGGCTAATCTGCCCCATTCTCCCAGGTGAGGAGCATCCTGCTGGGATGAAGGGCACAGACCGCTCCTGTCCCTCAGTGCTGCCTGGGGTTGTCTCATGCCCCAGCCCGAGTTGCCTCCCACCTGCAGGGCCTGGGGTTGCTCTCCGCAGGCAGCAAGCTTCTGCCTCCCTGGACACAGCCCCCCTCCTCCTTCACCGTACTCACCAGCCCTCCGCAGCGACGTCCTCCCTGGCCCCGGAGCTGCAGCAGGGGCTGGGAGCGGCTCAGAGCCCAGGGAGGAGGGGAGAGAAGTGGAGGCGGGCACTGGAAACCTCTTCTCTCTCTTTGCACATAGCTTCAGCCCCACGTCCGGCTTCCAGGAGGGCCTGGGCAGCCCTCCCCATCCCAGCCCCTGGGAGTCTAGTTGGGGCTGGTCCTTCTTCGAGCAAGGGGGTTGGACTAGACCAGTGGTGCTCCACCTTTTGTGGACCACAGGATTGCCAACTCGCAGGATTTTTTGGTGCTGTTCTTAAAGCCGACACTTCAGGAATGTGAAAAACTTGGCTCTTCCTTATATGCATGTGTGTGCATATAGACATAAGAAAGGGCTAAGTCCCATTCCTGAAGTCTATGTTTTTTTTTCACGTCCCTGAAGTGCAGACTTTAAGAACAATGCCAAAAGTCATGAGAGTTCGCAACCGGGGACCAGGACCCATTTGTCAACACGGATGGCCGGTCCTGCCCCCGTGCTCCTCACTCCTGACCCACAGCCCGCGCAGGGTGTGCGTGGTGGGGGATAAGGGGGTCCCAAGCAGCCCATTGCAAGTTGCAATTCTGTCAGCCTGCAAAGGAAAAACCACGCTTTCCCCTATTTTTCCCCTTTAAAGGGGAATTCATTTTTAAAGTTTGTTTGTGGCCCTTTCCACTTTTGGGTCACGGCCCACAGGTTGAGAAATACCGGACTAGACGACTTCCTTTTCTACCTCGAGACCTATCCAAATACCCCCAGACACCTGAAATGGGACCTGAGCATCCCCAGGCGAGTTCCCCAGTCCAAGGGAAACCTTCCCATCCCCCTAAGGATCTGGGCTGCAGAGTAAGAGAGGTTAACCTTAGTGTGGGAAGGCAGCAGGGTCTTATCTTATCTTGCTGCTTTGCTTGATGGTAAAAATAGAGAAGGGCCAACAAGTGCTGAATGCCCTTCCTGATTCTGCAAGGTGAGCGTCCAGGTGTTTTTTGAAGATATCCAGAGTAGGTGACTGTGCCACTTCTGGGGGGGAATCTATTCCAGACCCTGGACACTCGAGTTGTAAAGAAGTTTCTCCTTATGTCTAATCTAAAGTGGTCTTCTAGCAATTTATGACCGGTAGTCCTGGTCTTCCCCTGGGGAGCCCTGGTGAATAGACAGTCTCCCAGTCCCTGCTATGCACCCTTTAAATATTGCCAGGCTGCCACCAAATCCTCTGCGAGTCTTCTCTTCTCCAGGATGAATGGACCCAAGTCTCTCAGCCTCTCATTGTATGGCCTGTTCTCCGTACCTCTAACCATGCACGTAGCCCTCCCTTGGACTTGGTCAAGTTTCTCCATACCCTTCCTGAAGCACGGTCCCCAGAAGTGGGCACAATACTCCAGCTGAGGCCTTGCCAAGGAAA